TTGTTGGATTTTTTGTTTCCACATCAATTTGTGTGACTTTTTTTATGTCTTTTGGCTAAATGGAGTGAGACGTTCAGAATTTATTAAGATGTATTCTTCTAAATTAAGAAGCAAGATTATCTGTTATACAATTACACTGGTGTTGTTCTATAGTAGTGTACTTCAAATATATGTGTGTATATATAATTGTTTTTTTGTTTTTTTCTTTTTTACCTCATTAAAGCTTAACATTATATGCTCAGACTACTACCTAAGATATAAATATTTGTATCAAGGAAGTTGTCTTTATGGAAAATGTTTATCCAGGAAAACTATTTCTTGATAGTTGAAACCAAAATACACCACTGAATTATTTCACTGGACAATTGTGTCAGGAGATTACCAGTCAGATAATTCTCACACTAGGCAGGAACATATATTTCAGTTTGCAGGTGCTGAGTCATGACAGTGCTTTTTTAAACCCACAGTGAAAATTACATAATTATCAACATAAAATATTTAACTTTTAAGATAATTTATTCTAAAAATAGCATTAACACTAGATATTTTATTGTCTATAAAATTGGAGTAAAAGATAAGAAATAATTAGAAATAAAATTGGATCATATTGAGGGATATTTAAAGAAAAACAAAATATATTCATAATGCAAGGTTACTTGAGGTATTTACAAACCCCCTGGCCAATTTTGTTGGGCCCCACATTTTGAAATATAAAGCTTTTTTTTTTTTTCAGACTGCTGATAATGTGACTGTTAACACTTTGTTAGTCTTAGAAATTGTTCAAAAGATGGCATATTATAATGCATAAAATAGAGTATATAGTAAATCTTAATGTAGTGGTAAAATTACATTCCATACACATGTTTTTAGATGTAAATATTAATCTTCAGGTAATATATTTACTTACTGTCTCTTCCTTAGGTTGCTGAACGAGCACTGTATTACTGGAATAATGAATACATCATGAGTTTAATTAGTGATAATGCTTGTGATATTCTTCCCATCATGTTTCCTGCTTTGTACAGGAATTCTAAATCACACTGGAACAAGTAAGGATTGGTTTCTATGTGTATGTGTGTGTGCTAATGGCTAACATTTCCAGCACATAACCTGTTGGCCTTTTATTACTAAAGTGTGTATTATTTTCTTTTTTGTATTGTTGTTCCTTATATGAACTTCTGATTAGAAATGATTAATGCTGTTGAATATATTTATAACAAATTAATTACAACATTTCAAAGCAGATAGTAACAGATTGGTAAGTCCACTTTCTGACTGAAAAGCAAACTGATATAACACTGGTATAACTGGTAAATCAGATGAAACATTGCCTTAAAATTCATTTTGTAATATTTTAAACAGCTTATCTGTTGAATAATAATCAACAATAATACATTAGTAATAACAATGTCATGGAGAACTCGATCAAATGCTGTACTCTAATCAAGTGATACGAATGAGGACGGGCCGATGGAATATTTTCTCACCTAAAAGCAACAAAACAAATAGCTCATAAGAACTGTTTCTTTTATAATGTAGTTCGGCACTCTACAGGACTGTAATTTTTTGCACAATTAAGTTTCAGTGGTAATACTTTTTTCATTCTGTCATGGTATTACAACAATGTTCATATTGAGAATGCATTATTTGGACATAAAATCTAAATAATATCACAGACATTTTTGATAGTGCAGAAAAGTGGACTTTAATTTAAAGATTCCAGTCAATCAGTCATGATATCACAAACATATTCTTAATAATAATGCAAGATCTGAACAAATAAGTGGGCTCTAGATCAGATTATTTAAATCAACATGTAATATCACAAACATATTTTTACTGATAGTGTTATATTTAAACAAAAATGTGGCTATAATTTAAAGATATTTATTAGTTTAACACTACCACACTGTATATGTTTTGGGGTTGAGAAAATATTTAATTTTGTTCAATGTTTAACTCTATTTACATGTGTATTTGAGGTAGTCTTATTTCAAGATGGGATCGTTGGATTTTTTGTTTCCACATCAATTTGTGTG